GGATCCGAAAATCAGCTTGATTTACCAACGCCGACTGGCTCCCTCAATAGACCAAACCCACTGATAAGTGCATGGCACAACATAACGTATCAGACGATGACAGTGACAGACAAACAGATCAAGCTCGTAAGCTCAACTGGAATAGTATGACGGGAATGTAAATTATCTGGTGGCTAGAAAAAGAGTCGCCGGCTGAATCTAATGTTGATTCGAACGGTGTGTTTACAAACATCAACTGGATGATTTTCAAAATGAAATGATTCATTCGCACCAGGGACAAACGGAGTAGAAAGCGAAGTGAGAAGACTGAAGAGTTTGCTGTCAGATAGCAGTACAAAGAATTTTTAGTCTGGATAAAAAACCGAGCGTCAAACTGATACAAACTCTCCAGGCTTCTGGTGCCAAATTATGGTGGATGTTACCTGCAGATTAGGGGATGTGCGGTGGAGGCACTTAAACGATTTGCTACATCGACGAACGAGCTTGAATCGAACTACTGTAAATAAAACTATCTATGGACCTTTGTCCAACTATCGACTAGATACGACAGGCGAACATGCATTCGAATAAAAGTAAGACAGCTGAAAAAGACATGCTTGCAGAAGACTTGTCAAGGACGATGGCTAGGTTCTGGAGAATTTACCAGTTCAAGCTACCAACGAGATTTGGCAAGAAAAAAGTTTCACCAGAATTCAAGGATGCTCTATTCGTGCCACTTTAGAGGGGAAAAAAGACAGAGCAATTAGTATACTGAGCTGCCCTGGTAGGCTTTTGGTACGGGGACTAAGCAGTCGCCTGACCGATTTACACGTCCCAAAAGAACAATATGGATTCTGTGCTGGTCGTCTCACAACGCACCTGATATTTGCTGCACGGCAGCACCAAGAAAAATCCCACGAATATCGCATACTGTGCTCCTTCTAAAAGCGTTCGAGGTTTTCAGTCAGAAAGTTTTAAGTACGGCTGTCCACTGAAACAACATCATCAAAATCAAATGTAACATTACGGGAAAAAAGGTGAAAACGAAGGGATGGACCAAGCGGTTTCGAAATTCTTGCTAGCATGAAACATTTATGCGTCCATGCCTCTGCCTTTTCCACTTGGTATCTAACAGGTATCATGGATAGGACTTTCTTTAGAGACGGTGCTAACGTATGGTTTTTTATCGGCTTGATGGGTGCCATTTCAATATTAGAAGTTTTGGTGGCAGAGTTCCGGTTCATCAGAACAAGGCTCACCTACTCAAGCTTTTGGATGGCTGTATTGTTTGCCGATAAGCATGACAAATTTCGGCGCCTTAGTGAGAGCCATTCAACTGCAGCCGCGCAGTTTTGGCCTGAGCATTCAACCAAAGCCTACTTTTGTTTCGCTGCAACTTGAGGCAGCATGGAGTCCCCAATATTCTTATGCACTTCAAGAGTAGGACAGAAATTTTAAACAACTGCACGGGCTTCTGTTACCCTGAAAACATTAATTGCTGGTTTGGCCGTCGAACGTCAGCTGAGCTAGTGTGACTTCAGGCAAACTCACGAAACGGGTGTGGAGGAATCATGGCCCACGAATGGAGACAGACTACACGTCTAAAAAACGTTTCACTCTTTCAGCATGCCTATCCTCCTGAGGGAAGCTAAAACGCTGACCACGTACCAGCGCGACTTTCGAAAGTTGTACATCTTTCAGATGCACTGCCTTAGGTTGATATTTGCTATTCACTGAACTGAACAACTGCCGAACGCCAAGGTCCTCCAACCGGTGTGTTGTATTGAAAGAAAGTTCAGATCAACAGCTGACCATCTAAAGTGGCTGGTAAGTATTGTAAAGACACCATCTCTGTTTTCAAATTATTTGATACCTCGGTATCAGGGCTGAATATTCGATAGCCACCGGGTTATAGCTCATGTGAGTGAGTGCTAAGGCTTAAAACTGAACGCCTTGAAAAAAACTATCCGAGCCAGAGTCTTTTGATTTAGCGATCTGACATCCCTAGCCAGGGAGCTTAAGTTTGCAAGACGCAAGGGTGTTATCGAGACTGTTAGGCCTGGAGACCGAGCAAGCTCGATCCACAGCAACCGCGGTCACTTTCACGCCGGTTGCATTGAATTGGTTGGACACCGGTGGACACAGAGTGGATAAAGTGAGTTTATCAGACCCGCTTTGGTATTCTGGGGCTATCAAATAGCTTAGCCCTCAGCGATGTTAAAGGCGACTTTAAATGGCCACCGCTGAACGGACCGGAACCTACGCAATTACCTTAGTACAGTGAGCTGTTCAGCGTGTTCAATCAGCAATGATGCTAGAAGTGTCTCCCAATGATCAATGTGTGAACAAGAGCAAATCAAATAATAAACGACCAGAGGACACTAAGCTAGAGTTATTAATAATTGACTTATAATTGATAATAATGGACTAATTGACTTATTAATGATCTGACAGTCAGTTTATTCCCAGCGGACATCACAGCGAAGCCCTGGCTAACTGTTCTGGATATTGCTGGGTTTAAAATTCACAGTTGCTCCACGAGGGACTTTTTTATGGACATTGTTGTAGAGACGGAGCTGAATAATATCTGAAACTAAGTGGCCATTCCAAGTGCTCAGAGTGTACCTCAAATGTGGCGCGGATCACCAGGCGCCCCTTCAAATAAGCTATGGGTATCAAACTTTTGGTTGCACCCACAGCCTTAATCTAAGCAATCATCCAGTGACTTCCCTCGAATAGGCTGTTTCCATTGATATGCTGCACACTGTTTCTCACTGGAATCGTAAATCTAATCTATTTACGTTCCACTATGATGTAAGGTTTCCTTTTGAGATTCGAGTTGGAACATTATCGAACCTCACAATATCTAGAAAGGTTCCTATAAATAGGTCAAATATGTTGTGCAACTGATCTCCAAAATTCGCCGGTTGCTCAAGTCAGATTCAGTACGTACATTATCGCTTATACGTCCCAGTAGTCTAAGATAATGAAATGTTGTTAATCTTTGTATTCGAAAGTGGCTTGGAATAGCAACGTGCTGTCCTCAAGTTGACGACCTCCGTTTAAATGGGTCTATTTTTGGTAAGGTTCATGCAGCAGAACATCTGGTTCGGAACCGCAGACCGTGTTAGAAGTGAATTTTATGTACTGCAACTTAGCGTCCTATCGAAGGAGAACCAACACACGAAATTAGCATCCAGACATGAGGCTTCTCCTGAGAGGCACCTTGAATGATCTTTGCTCAGGGTTGAGGGCGATTTCTAAGTGTCTCCCTTTCAGGCCGTCCTATGAGCCTTAGTTGAAGGTGGCCTACCTTTTAAAGAAAAACAGGTAATGACAGTATACGTGTCCTTATCCTTCAATTCTGAGCTACATTATAATGTCTACGTAAGTTTCGATTGCTCACCGGTATAAATCCCTCCGTACAGCTCCTAAGCTTGAAGTGTCTTAACTGCATTAAGGTAGATCACACCATAGAAGTACATTTCTTAGGCTAGGGTAAAAGCGTAGCGCGGACGATTTTCCGAATCTGGGAATTTCGGCCTATCACTGTGCCATGGCACATTGTTCTGTAGAACTAATGAAAACTGTTTAATGATATGAGAGGCAGAAATGCCAAATAAGCCCAGGGAAGCACACGAGTTGACACCCAATGTGAAAAAATACCGAATGCTCGCTTAAGTTATGTATCGTAACAATATATGCTTTGAACCTTCGGCACCATTTAGCAACGCGTATTCACAATGATATTTGCAGGCCAGCTACTCCACACACCTAAGCATGTGACAAATGAAACCCAATATGTATAACAAAGAGTGGATCACCGATGCATATAAAGTCGGGTGGACCTTGAAGTACTTAAAGACAGTTAATAAGTGCATGTTATCAACGAGATGCATCTCTCCATTTATGTGGTTTTGCTCCGCGCTAAATTTCGCCATTTACGCCAAACCATTTGCATACTTCCATACGAAGCATACTTTTCTTAGAAATTTTAACTTAAATTTACGGCATTAGTTAAGTAAGATATTACTGTCATTAGCAATTTTTATACCGAACATTCGTAATGTGGATTGGTAACAAAATATTCGTTAATGTGCTTCTGGAGCGTTTGCCCAGTATATCGCATTTGTAGCGAAACACTCGTCGAAGGCTGGGTGTCGCCCAGCCCATACTGGTGTAGCGTTGTGCTGGTGTGCAGGCTCACACGCCAATGCACTGTCGAGCCATGAAGTGCCAATGCACAACAAACGGATAAAACTTTCGCAACAAAATTGCCGAGTCCAGCGAACAAAATAGTCAAATTCGAAATTTTTCCTACCGTTTTACGTCTCCATAGCATCTTCCAAAATATTGATGGCAATATTGTAAATTGATAAAATTCCCATAATATAGGAAACACACAAAATCCTCTAACTAAGCTATGCTTTGGGCATAAGAATTGTGTCAACCAAATAAAAGAACTAGTCCGACCTGGCACAACGCATTGTGCTGATTGGCTCTAAGAAGTTCATCCTCACTATGGACAACGGGGAGGAACAGCTTCGCTATTCTAACTTTATTGTCCGCTTTTGAACAAAAATAAAGTTTACAGTCATAGCATAAGACAACGAAATGTACATGCGAATAATTAACGGGAACAAGTTTTTCCGACCATATTTTGGGTGTGAAATAGAACGCCCCTAGGCTTACCAAAGTTTTTAATGTGACCTGATGTGTGTACGTAAAACACCTGCTAATACTTTCAGAATTAGACAGTCTGCCCCCCCCCAGCCAAATCATTGTACCATAGCTGTTTGATCACTTATCATAAAACAACGGAAAGCATATATGGCCATTGGTGTTCTAAAACATTTATTCATCTAAATGGCATTTATAATGAGCTCAGTATAACAAAATACTTCCGAATATGCAGGGTTTCCCCAAGCCGATAGTCCTGCGAAGATGATGTTGCTCTGTAGACCTCCATTCGGGGAAAAACGATATACTGGCAAATGATTTGTACGGATTTGTCGACTTACTGCAAAACGTGCCAGGATATTTGCTCCGGCTCCCTCGCCAAAAAGAACCAATTGTTTGATTCTGTAAACGTAGTAGCAAACAGGAAGCTTAAACGAAGCGCAAGAACTAAGGAAAATGATCATTTTAATGCCACACATTTTGAGTTAGTATAATATGCATCCGCTACCCGAGAGACGTCCACTAGCAATTGAATAGCACGGACTAAAGCGTGGTCATGCTCCCCAACGAACTGCAGTAAATTGACTTTGACATACACTAACACGCGATAAGCTGGGTAGTGTTAGGTTTTCTGAACAGATGGTCTTGGAGGCTTATAGATAGTGTAATTAAATCTTTGAGGACCGTTTTGGGCTCTCGCTTTGGTTGACGGTTACAAACGCTTTAAGGTGCCCGGCATACCGGGGAAGGTGAAAGCTCCGTCTCAATGCTCTACCAGTTCCTGTAGCAGATGTTGCGACTATAGAATAAAACTCAAACATCTATATAGAGTGGTGTTTTCTGATGAGGATACGAAGGTTTCAAATGCTGTCGAGTAGCTTGGACCGATGACAGGCACGTGCTATCTTTATACGGTCAACCTAAAGGGGTAATAACTGGAACGGCAGGTCTGGAAAACGGTCGACATTCTGAATGCCACTACCAAATTTGACCGTGGTCATGTCTATGTCATTTTGGTTGATGAGACGCGTGAATACACGCTATCGTTCTAATAGAATTAGATCTGTGGCGCATATCTGACAGTCACGTCGCGCATCACTCGAAATATTTGTATTCTTCCAGCCCATGGGGAAATTACATAGGGGTTCGTAGAGTAAATTCCCGATTGCTCGTAGAAATTAAGAAGAGATGATTACTAGTAAAAGCCAATAGACTCACGTCTAAAGACGAAATGTCATCAAAAATACGAACAAATGTTTCCCATAATTGAATAGTTTCGCTCATGGGGTACATTTCCGCCTGATATGTTTTAACTCACGAGCATGTTTCTATCAGTGTGGGATCAAGCAGCCGCTCACTCTGTTATGCAACGTAGAATTTGGTCACCTCTCCGTGCTCCGTAGTAACAAAGGTTACTTACTTATTCCTACAAGGCATTCGTGTGACACCGTTCTAAACAGAACGTTCGAACCACGTCTAACAATGCCCAAGACTACTGCAAGTTTGGTCACGCAGGTGTAAATCTCTTAGTGTTTCTCCAAATAATGTAAAGGGTAGCGCAGCACACGGAAGTGAAAGAATGGAATGCACGATTGTTTCAATCTCACTTGGCATGGCATGGCACGAACCGCTTAAGACAACTGGCGTGCGATTATCAAAGTTCATCAGGATTTCTCATCTCACTTAATGGCAATGGCGAAGAACCAAAATAAATGTTCAGCGGGCGTTTGCTTCAAGCATTTCAGGAAAATTACAGCACCCACGTGAAATTTGCCGAGGTGAGCAGACGATATACTAATTTTTATCAATCCCTTTGCAGAACTAATATCATTAGGAAATAATCCCAGTGACTCCATACTAGTCATGGCAAAGAAAGAAGAATCTGATATTAAATCAGACCCACCGGTTTGTATACGCGGAGAAATTTGTTATTCGTATCTCCCACGATTGAAAGGAACCACATTCAATGATGATGATCTGTGTTTCACACCATGAAGTTTAATGTTGGCCACCACTGATTAACTTGTGGCCCCTTTACTTACGACATTTCCCAATGAAGCATCATGCACTCAGGAGTGAGTTCTACACAACTGGGGGCTTATTCTGAGTGTATTATTTTTTGCGCATCGCAAGTTTGTGTGCATAGGCTGTTGATACTATGATCATCAATCAGAAACAAGGCTGCAAACCACCTCTGTGCACAAGTAAGCTTTATTCCCTGAAGGTTTACTTTCTTCATATAGATTCCCATAAATTAAACACCTGTTCACTCGTGGTAAAGCTTGTCCAAAAATCCACCATCTGCACTAATGATTCCTTTGCCTAATACAACCGATTTAACGATCAGTGAGCTGTTGATTAGGCTTCAACAAGACTTGTACGTACAAAGGGTTGAACAGAGGTTTACAGTGTGACGGTGCATACTACTGATGAGGCATGCGAGTAGTGTTTTCTCGTAAATCCGCGTCGCATCTATTGAAAAGTGAGATTTATTACGGAATTTGTAGAATCGCTTCGTAGCATTCCGGTCAAGAGGCTATGAGGCGTTTCAAGACGCCCAGGATGCCACCTGGATGCAACCCGACCATGTTCTTTGCTAGCCCGCAGCAGTCGTTGTATCGGGCTTTGCCGGGGCTGGACGGAGTGTCGCGCCAGCAGCTGCTTTCTGACCAGTTCGTCAAAGATGTGCAGCCTGCGCTTGGTGCTCAGTTCCGGTTGGCGAGAGCAACTGGCCAGTCGAGTGTGAAGCACCTGGTGCATATGGCATGAAAGTTGGCCAGGACGCCACTGGCCACTTTGCACTCACAGGAGAACAGGGAAGATTTAGTGGTGGGGGATCTAAAAAACTAAGTGGAACAACTAGCGGAACAGCCTGCAGCTATCAAGACAGAATCACGGAGGCACGCTCGGACGAGCCTGGCCGCTAGAAGAACCAATGTCATTCTACCAAACCGCTTGTAAAAGTGAGTTCTACACAACTGGGGGCTTATTCTGAGTGTATTATTTTTTGCGCATCGCAAGTTTGTGTGCATAGGCTGTTGATACTATGATCATCAATCAGAAACAAGGCTGCAAACCACCTCTGTGCACAAGTAAGCTTTATTCCCTGAAGGTTTACTTTCTTCATATAGATTCCCATAAATTAAACACCTGTTCACTCGTGGTAAAGCTTGTCCAAAAATCCACCATCTGCACTAATGATTCCTTTGCCTAATACAACCGATTTAACGATCAGTGAGCTGTTGATTAGGCTTCAACAAGACTTGTACGTACAAAGGGTTGAACAGAGGTTTACAGTGTGACGGTGCATACTACTGATGAGGCATGCGAGTAGTGTTTTCTCGTAAATCCGCGTCGCATCTATTGAAAAGTGAGATTTATTACGGAATTTGTAGAATCGCTTCGTAGCATTCCGGTCAAGAGGCTATGAGGCGTTTCAAGACGCCCAGGATGCCACCTGGATGCAACCCGACCATGTTCTTTGCTAGCCCGCAGCAGTCGTTGTATCGGGCTTTGCCGGGGCTGGACGGAGTGTCGCGCCAGCAGCTGCTTTCTGACCAGTTCGTCAAAGATGTGCAGCCTGCGCTTGGTGCTCAGTTCCGGTTGGCGAGAGCAACTGGCCAGTCGAGTGTGAAGCACCTGGTGCATATGGCATGAAAGTTGGCCAGGACGCCACTGGCCACTTTGCACTCACAGGAGAACAGGGAAGATTTAGTGGTGGGGGATCTAAAAAACTAAGTGGAACAACTAGCGGAACAGCCTGCAGCTATCAAGACAGAATCACGGAGGCACGCTCGGACGAGCCTGGCCGCTAGAAGAACCAATGTCATTCTACCAAACCGCTTGTAAATAATCGAATTTTGGAGTACTCCTCTTATTCTGGGTGGGCTGCGATTAGTGCAGTGACACAGGCTACCACACAGGCCGTTATCGAGATAGATGGGAAGAGGGAGCTGTATTTGACTGATACAGGAGCAGGGGTGTCGCTGAGTCGAGGAAGAGGAAGCAAGCTGAATGCAGACCGTAAGCGCTAGCCGTGAGGGCAGTGAGTGGATATTGACTGAAAATTGACGGATTGTCAATGCACTCAAAGCACCTAGCGACAAGTCCGTGCAGCACGTGTTCCTGATCGGCCCAGACATAGAGCAGACAATATTGGGGGCAGATTTTCTCAAGAGCACAGATTCCGTGATTGATCTAAAGCAGAGAAAGCTGGTGACAAAGTATGGCGCAGTCAAGACGGAAAGCTATCCAAGCACTGCCATGAGCGAGCTGCATGTCCGAAAGCTTCCTTCTTGTAACGTGCCGTCAGTACGGTCCGTGGTTGAGGAATATTCCGAGCTGTTCACAAGCAATGAAGATCCGTTTGGTTTCTGCTAGTGGATCGAACGCGAAATTCCTCTCTTGTTCGAATGCTTTCGACCATATGGCCCTCATCCGCTGCCGCTCCAGCTACGAGAAGAGGTCCATTAACAAATTCAAAAGCTGTTGAAAAATGGCGTAATCGAGACAGCCCATATTGCGTACAACTCCCCGGTTGTGCTTATAGGGAAAGCGGATGGAAAGTACAGGTTTTACGTGGATTTCCGGCGCTTGAATGAACTCATCGTAAATCGGGTTCTAGCTGTCCCTTCGGTTGCGGAGATTTTTGATTCCCTCCAGCATTTCCGATATTTCACGGTGTTCGGCTCGCTTTCCGGATAGTGGCAACTATGTATCAAGGTGGAGGACCAGGAGAAAACGGAGACGATATCGTTGTGTACAGCAATTCGGAATCAGGGCACGCAGCTCACCTGAAGGCCGTATTGAAGCGTATCCGGGAGGCTGGCCCGCAGACAAATGAAGCCAAGACAGCTCGTTCGGAGTTCGATGAAACTGCTGGGGTTTTAGCAAGACTCCAGTACGTACAAAGGGAGGTTTACACTGTAACGGTGGATACTACTGATGGGGCCTGAGAGTAATGTGTTTTCTCGTAAATCCGCGTCGCATTTATTGAAAAGTGAGATTTATTACGGAATATGTGGAATTGTTTTCGTTTACATTTGAGTGATAGTCAATGAGTATCCAGGAAAGTCCAGGAAGACGTGTTCAAGAAGAAGACGGATATAGTTTTTATAAACAAAATGCAAATGAGAGTTTTGCTCCCCTGTCCACCTGTACCTGTCTGTACCTGTTCAGTTGGTGTTTTCTAATAAATAACTCCGCGGCAAAAGCCCGCTTTCTTTTAATACAGCTGAAGGTCTGTGACGTCTGCAAGCGCCTAACTCAACCGTTTAGTGAACCGAATACGGCTAATCAACGTATCAGTTTCTCCCAACAGCGTAGACTTTCAAAACCTTGGATGAACACTTGGAATTATGTGTACATATATGTATATGTATGGATGTATTTCCCCATCGGTTTTTATCAAGCTGACCATCAAAAGCCTCGAAAATTAGCTAAAGATGGATTAGTCCATAATCCATAGCAAAATGGCCTGAAAGCACAACAAATAAACGATGTGTTTCAGAAGAGTTGGCTTTATCCTGTAAACGAGCGTTGGAAAAATTTTTCATGAGCAAAGCTTCTTGACGAACATGCTCCTTAGTCGAAGGCTATTTTGAGTTTGTCCTTTACTAAATGGTCAACTTTGGCTTACAATTGGGATGTGGACGTGTTTGGACAGTGTGGGTCCGGCATCCTCACTTAGCATTCACAAATTTGGACGCTGAATTCTCACTTTTGGACACTAAAAGACAAAAGTGGTAAGTCATGGAGGTAATTTGCAAGTAATCACGTGATTATTTTTGTCCCGGCTCTTTGCATCAACACTCTCCGCACTTCCTAGTGAAAAAAATATCTGTGGTCTGTGTGTGCTGACATTTTGGTTTTTATCGCAAAGTGGGAAATTAAAAGTGAGTGGATGGCAAGCATTTGGGGATGTCTGGTTTGCTCCACACAACTATAGTTTATTGTTGCCTTCAATCACACAGCTAGAAAATTTACTGTCGTTATCATAACGGTTTATTGACCAACCGGGTTCAGTGTTTTTGAAACAGTTGGGAGCTGGAAAAGACAGTCTGTAGAAGAATGATTAAGATGTTAAAGTACCCACGAGAAAAGTCGACTATCTCTCTATTGATGAATTGATGTTCATATGGGTCTCAGACTATTTTATAATAGGGTTGTAGAATACTTCGACGTATTCGGGGAAGTCCACTTGAGTGACGCGCAAAATCACAAGCCAGAAATTGTGGATTCTTGCGATTTGTCAAAAGATGCGGTACTACAAGTATGAAATACGTAATAAAAGGGATAGAAACCTCACATTATGGGGTTTTTCGTGTAAACTGTTGCACGAAGTAATGCAAGTCCAAAGAAAGCTCGAAGATGGCAAATTGATCTTAGTTTGCAACACACGCCTGGGCACAACACGCAGTAACATAAAATGGTCAAAAAGCGCGTTTAAATGACGGTCGACCAAATTGGTTCGACAATTCAATGGTTAAAGTCCATGAGGGATTACAAATGCATATCAAGTCTATGAGGTAGACGCAGTGAACAGCAGCGATTAGCCATGTATGGTGCAGTTTGTGGCTGATGTCGGTAGTACAGCAAACACTGCGAACATTCACCTCTATTGAAGTACTCGCAGGCACAAACTCAGATCATACTCCGTTGAAGAAGGTGGATGACCAACAATGCTGAGTGAAAGGTAACCTTTCCCCAACAGCGCAGACGGTGCAAGATTTTCAAACCAAATCCGTACCACCAAATCGTTTTCACTGGAGGTACATGGAAAAAGTTTTCACAGTAGCACTGATATGTACAATGACAGCCAGTATGTAATCAACCGACCTTAAACCCAAATAATAACTTACACTATGGGAGCGATCGTCCTATGAGCCCACAAACCCAGGCGGATTGGTGTTCTGGGCTTACAGGATGGTCGTGCACAGGTTGAGAGATATAGCCACAAGGCCTCTCAAGCCGCCATTTCAAAGCACTCGAAACGGAAGACTCAAACCTCTCCATGCAGGTAAAAATAACCTTAGGTAGACCAGCTGATTGGTTGAGAGGGCGTTTTAACGAATACTGTCCCCCTCAAAACGCTCCGCACATTGAAGTTAAACTAGAACATACACATTTTACAGTATTTTTTGTGTAATAGTGAGAACATAAAAGGACAGTTTTATCCACTTATTCAGTGTCTGTGAGAAACTCAAAGTATTCGGGAGCGATTTTTCATCACATCGTCAACCATGGATTTGGGGGTTCGAATTTAAGCGAGGAACCTCACGGTTGTTTGGAAACCATAGCTCTATCTCTTTCAAGATGTTACAACATGTCAACTCATTTGCCTACCAATCACATGATAACCATGCCATAGAGTTCGTACGCTATTCGCGAATGATTTTCATCCACCAATCAGCAGCCTTCGCATCTTTTATTTGAAACCTTAAGAAAGCTCTTAGACAGAACCTTTTGTTAGTCGCATTCTGCACGCCAGCTAGAATACCAACCAAAGTTTAGGACCTACTAACTACCTATAAGCCTTTAGTGATCCGTCAGGAAAAATTACGAATTTCGCAAACTTAATGAATTACTTTGGAGCATTCGTCACCGGAACAGACAGTCAGTACGTCAATACTTGAGGTGACCTGCGAGACTAAGGGATGAGTGGTGCTATATCTTGTTTGACTAATAAACAGTCATAGTGACGATCTACCACATGTGAAAAATGGCATTTAGGGCCCAGTTACTCGTCGTAATGCTGCGGGTCCAAATTCCTCTAGAGATTTTTGAGTTTCACACTATAAATATTTGAGAAAGCATCAGACAGGTGTGCAGTGCATCTGTGCTTTTGAAATTAAATTAACTTTACCTGCATCATAAAATTCTGACTCAAGCATTCATTGAAGTCTTATATGATCAAGCTCAGCCTTGTGCAACTCCAGTTGGTTAGTCTTTGCCCCTGGCGTAAAGCAGGAAAGTACCTAGCAAATTAACTGGTATTTGTCTCATGTTTACGAATTTAGCACCAATGAGTTTTACAAAGTTTGGTTAAAGTGATTTTCTGCCGTTTGTCATTACACAGTCCAAAGACGTTTTCTCCCATGACAGTTACGTCCAAACACGCAGGAAGTGATCTGTGCTGGCCACTTTCCCACCAAAGAGGGAAAAAGCCGACATCATTTCCAATGCTTTTCTGGAGAGAAGCAATCTGTATCTTCATTTTGAAAGAAAACCTTGCAAACTGACTTATTCTTTTAGTAACTCAATATCTATTTTGAGATTTTACGAAGAGACATACTATCAGCGCTCGCTGAAATACATTGGCACGACTGCTGATGAGGAGCCAGAATTGTTAACCAAAGAACGTAGATTGACAACCAAGAAAATATTCTTTCCAGCCAATAGCATGAAATTTAGCTTTGGAAAACAAATGACGTTTAGTAAATATTGATAAGATCTATTAGTCCCTGCTGGCCCTGTTGTAACCCAGGATCGATTCATTAAGAATTATGATAGTAAAACCATTGCAAACCATAGTCAAACCGTCTGTCTACTATACCGTCCAGCAATCCAGGTAGTGATGCACGTTGCAGCTGATTTGTGTTCATATGCAGCCAAACTTTTTCCATCAGTATATCTCATAATTAAAAGAAATGTATATTATTATATTGAATAACTCACTTAAAGTGATCCAACACCTCCTTCATGGCCTCCGGAAGCTTACTGATCGGCGGAAATACATAACTACACAGCGAAAGGAGTAGTCACATAGTCAATTTGGTAAAATGGCACCGATTACAGAACTGTAGAATTTTCAAACGTAAAGACATGAACAGGTATAGGTACAAGTCATACGCTGCATCATTGAGTTATTTCTGCGGGCCCTAAGTGCATTTTCGCAACTAACATTCTCAAACCAAACCATTTTTGGGACATCGAATTCGATATAATTAAAATAATTGTTTTTTATTTACTACCTCCCTGATCAATAATGAAACATGTCCCACAAGCTTACTCCAGTAGCCTTAGATATTTTGCACTTTGTTTGTGCTCTTCGAATGCAAAAAGACATAAGCTCAAGATTTTGCTACACCCAGGGTGTGAACACCCCTTGCTGAGCTGTTCGATAAAAAACGCAAATTCAAAACGTCGAGGAAGCAGTCAAATAATTTGGACCACAAGCCAATGGAATGTATTAGCTGCACAGTATTGAGAGAATAATACGTATCAATGCCCAAAACAAATTTAGCGAAGGAAGCATTGAGTCACTATATCAAGACCCAGAGTAAAACATGTCTAAAGGCTGAGAACATCCGGATGATCTACTGCGTGCAACAGTAAGCCGACTATGTCTAGTAAGCACAGATTATCATTGCGCAAACTCTGGTCCCCGAAAGTTGCACGTTGTCAAGGTCAGGTGGAATTAACACCATGTTTACTCTAATCTCTGAGAAGAACATATCAAGTGGCCGAAAAATCATTCTCTTCTGCCGGATGTATCAATACCTTAACGCGCCAAAAGTCGACAAATCAATTTCATCTGTGGATAAACCCTTTCGCCAGAAGCGACCGGATCTCCATATTCTCGACTAAAACTACGCTAATTTTGTTCAGTATGGATGAAAATACAGTTTCATTCCTGTGATGATGCACACTGCAGTTGCAACCAGGAGAAAGTCACTGTGGGCGTCGTTTTTGTATAAGGACCAACCAAATGCTCATTCAGTCAAGCAACACCTGTATTGTACTTACGTGGCAGGTAGTTCTTCTTCCCCGTCGCCTTGTCCAGGTAGATCTATGTGAAGCCATACGGCCCGTTGCATGAACGGGGTCATTTTGGGGTTTGCGACGAAATCTTCGTATTGATAGTCTATATTGTTAAAAAACCGGAAAACAAGTTATTTTGTTGTACATTGTGCAGTGCAGCATTTACCACAGAGGAATCGGATATTTAATGAAGTCAAATTCAAAGATAGTACTTCATATGATACCGCATAGAAAATCTGTCGTATTTAGGGGAATAAGTGGAGTTCAACTCAAACTTGAGTCGTAACGTGGAAGCTATTCATAGAACCGTTAGCGAAACTATGTGGCGTGATAAAGCTTCAGTTTTTCACTAAATGTCTCAAAAAATTATCTCCGAGTATTCCAGAGCCAAATCCAGTGCATTGCTGGTTTCAAGTTCTTAAGTTTTAAAGATAATTGCAAGTTGGGTTTATGATGTGTCCTTAGTTAAAATTAACACTTCAAGTTCGGCACCTAAAATAAGTGAAAATGTGAGGAACATTCCGTTTCAGGAAACTTATAGGTAGACTTATAGCAGCACTTATAAGAAACCAGTGGTGCTTTTCCCAAGCAGCTGCCCATACTGTCGGCTAGTTTTCTAGAATGCAGTCGGCATGAACACTTCATTCCACGAAAAATGCTTCCGAGGATAATTTTTGGAGAGTATTAAAATGATAACAGATATTTAGACCTTCATTTTATCCCTGGGTTTCAGCAGTGAGATCAAATCCACATGTGCACTTTTCACACATTCCATCACCTCATATTGACACCTATAAACACAGTAACAGAGAGCTATCATGCGTTTCGTGCGGCCTATTTTTTTGCTTGAGAATTTTCAACGTTTCTTTTCCGGTAGGGCGCACAAAAATATGAAGGCTCTATTTGATACTTGGAGGGGGTAGTAGAGGAAAGGTCGTCAAGTTTGGAATATTGACTTTGTAGCTATGCAGTTCGCCATGTGCGTCAATTAGTTTTACGAGAACGGCTCTTGTTTACTACTTTGTAAATCAAACATCGCCAGAATCGTAAAACAATACCCGGGATTCTCAGACCATGTTCATGCTGCACTTGAGTATTCCAGACAACTGGCAAGACTGTGACATCGCCAAATAACTTGGATAGTCGCCCCACTCAGTCACCCATGTTGACGTGATGTATAAAGACTGTCCCTCTCAATGATAGTGTTCACTGATGATCAAACAATCAATCGATTAATCTTGTCAGCCATAAACCGTGTGCCATAGGCACATTCGTTCCAGCTGCTACAGTTTGGATCATCGGAACAACGGGACAGTGTGGGACATACAACGAAGCCTTGGAGGCGATGGCATGTTCAGTTAGTTTGGGGATAGGATAGCTAAGTATTGAAGGCTATGGCTTTGATGCTGAGCGCCACTGGCTGCGCGATTTGGCAATTTTTGTGAAATGAGTTCCGGCGTCCTCATCCGGAGAGAGGACAGTTGTCGACTCAATACAGTTTACTGGCTAGTGTTTACATACTTCGTTGCCAGATCATGCACTGTCCACTTCTCGGTCACTTCCACTCAGCGTAGGCCGGTAAAAAGAGCTCAACAAAGCGGACAGCCTTCTGGCATGCGGAGTACATTTTCCAATCAGCGTAACCTATGAAGTGTGAGTAACTTGTCTATAGCAGGAGGGGTTCTTCCTAAAATCATATGGCGCATCTCGGCATTACTAATCCGATGTTCCAACCAGACCTGACCAATGCTTAGGAGACACCGAAGGACAAACACTGATATTTTTCATATGTTCTCTGCGCGCAGAGGCTAAGTCTCTGATTCTTAAAGCAGCATAGATCGCACCGCCGCACTGTAAACTAATCCCTTGACAGATAAACTGACGTCACTTCGCCCTAGGTGTCGAAGTTCGGTAAAGTTGCCCAGCTTTCCCGATTCAAGGGATAATGTCATCTCTACGAAGATTCATCCAACTGCCCAGGTCAACATCGATTTGCCGGTCTGCAAGCATGAGGTTTGGATTTGATCCCACCCAACCTCGAAGCTGCACTTTACACTTTGCAGTTGTGAAACACATGCGAAACTGTGCGGCAGAGTAATTAGAGTCATTTAAAATCGTCTGTATCTGGAGAAAATCTGCACCAAGGAGAGCAATATCATCTGCATACGCAATATCTGTGAGCGAACATCCCGGGAGAATTTCAACTCCCGAGGTTTCAGAGGTAGGCAAGGAAATGTCAAGCAGTATATCAATGACAAAGTTGAAGAGGAAAGGTGACAGAGGCCAGCCATGTCTTTCACCACTATACGTGGTGAAATCAGGTGGAAGCGTCCCATATGCTCGAACGCGTCCACAGGAGTTCGCATACAGTGTCCTTATAAGGGATATAAATTTGGAATGAAAACATTTGTTTACCAGACACTGCCAAAGTTTCTGCCGACCGAAAAAATCAAAAGCAGCTTTGAAATCAAAAAAACACGACCACCGTGGGACGTCTGCAGAAGTGGTGCTGTTCAATAAGTTGTCCCTAGGTAAAGATATAGTTGATGAATCCTCGACCAGCTTGATTCCCGCGAATCTGTCTCCCAATAATCCATCAGCCTGCGCAAAATAATCCCAGAGAGCACTTTCGATGCGACAGACATCAGGCTGATAGCAAGATGTTTTCACATGACTCGCGCTCCTTTTAGAGACCGGGATGACGGTCGAAGAGCTCCGTTCGGCTGGTATTCTGTTTTTGTTCCAAGTCTTCTGCAGTATGGCTGTCACTGTTCACAAGGACGAAGACACCTTCTTTGAAGTGTGGGGTATAGATCATCCGGACCTGGTGCCTTGCCGCACTTCAGGATTGATATCTCACGCTGGATTTCGGTTGGTATCGATGTTCCGTTCAGATTCTCTGGCTTCTTCCAGTCGTTGTGTTGAAGGAGACCAGCTGAATTATTCCCTGAAGTTCTCAACCCACCGCTCAAGATGATAATTGAGAGAGTGAATTGCCGTTTCGTCTTTTTCGCATATTGTTTCACTGGCACTTGCTTTCTTTGGATTGGTCTATAAATTCAGTTGAAACGGGGCGCGGCTGTTGCCTGCAGCAGAAACCTTCTCCATCTCCTGGGCGTTCGAAATCCACCAGCGTTTTCTGTCACTCTTCAGGCTTCTGATTATCCTGTGTTTGATGGATTCAGTCCAATAAGGCGCTTTCAGCCCTGGAACTGAGTGCAACTCCCACAACGTAGATACCACGGGCCATTGCGTCATGATCACCAGATAGCCGATGAGTGAAATGTGGAATATCTGAGATCGTCCAAAGCGGCTTGAGGAGCAAGACCGAAGTGAGGTATTGTACGCGTGTTTTGGAGACATAACATACATCGACAGAGAGGGAAAACAAGGTTTCAGTGAGGTATGCCTGTTGTCCAACTCGTCATAGAGTACGGACACTAAAGGCTACAAAGTGGACGGGATCTTTCGAGGTTAGCAAGTGATCATTTTGGTTTATTTTCTGAGCGAGGGTTTGGACACGGAATGGTGGTCAAGGGACTGGCAGATGGGTTGATTGCAGTTCACTGTACGATGGGTCGGAAGGGAGTGTCGGAGAGGGCCGGTGGGTGGAGAACTGCAAGGGCAAATGAAACCTCCTGGTTGCCCCGGCCGAGGAGTAGGGTTTGGTTGAGGTACCCCACCTTGTACCTTTGACCCAAAAGTCTGACCCACAAGGCAGTGAGAGGGTGTAGCGTTTTGTTCAGTCACCATGCCCCTAGCCTCTGACCGCGAGACAGCCTTGAAAACTAATTTGCACGCCATTCCTCCATTCAAAGGACAAAGATTCCGTGCACTTTTTTAAACATCAGCCGGCGAACGTCGTTAGCATACCTATAAAATAGCTTACTTTTCGGCCGCTGTCAGCTTATCAGTCTGAAACGGAGTGCTAAAGACTTAGATATCGGCTTTCAGAATTGTACAGCCTCTTTACGACAAATAAAACTGATGCAGCTCCACAAACTTATTTGCACGTCAATGATCATCCGGTTAGACATGAAATCAAATTGCGATTCCCTTAATCCATGCGCACTGAATACATGATTGTACATGATTTCCTTAAGTTATAAAAACGCTTGAAGACAAATATCAGGCGTGGGCCTACTTGATTAATTTGAAGAATAGAAACACCGGCAGTGCGCTGTCAAGCGGCTTTCAGCAACGTTATGGTGGTGCGCTTGGTCAACAGAACATGCTGCGGTATGTCGAAAATTGTGCCGACTGAAACACGGGACGGCTTTCACGCAGCACATTCGGTAATAGTATAATAAACAAAAAGCTTAGTCGAGTCTTTACTAACAAGAACATAAACTGCAAACGAACGAATTTCCCCGAAACCCTGTTTTATAACAATTTTTATAATCAGGTAAAAACGTTAATTACCTTTTCTGGTGCCAGTAACTATAAATGACATAGAACTTAGGAAGAAAAGTCATTTCGATATTACTAAAGATATATTTTTTAAGACAAATAACAATAAAACCACCGTATCAAGATTATATGTTGCTTAGAAAAATCTTGGGAATAGTAGATCCGTCGATGCAGGATATTTGCGTTTGTTGAGTCAGTACTTTGGAGTGCTGGATATGATTAGCAGAGGTTTCCGGTGACCTTAATGAAGTTAAAGATCAGGGTGAAGAGACACGAGACAGTAATTTTTGACATAAAAAAATGCACTAAGAACGATATTGTCCGCTGCAAGACGAACAAAATAGATTGGTATAGACACACCAACGACTTGCAGCGCAGAAATGATTCTTAGATGTACCTCATACGACGTGACCGGTACAAAAACGTGTTAATTTCCGGATTATGTCAAGCTATGGTAAATGACTTCTCAAAAAATCACGGTCACTTCAACGGACTACACGACTGAATGTTAGAATTACGTTTGATTGCATTCGCGTGCTTAAAAAATGATTCGGACATTTTACCGGCTGAAACTGGGTCAGTTTCTACACCATAAAATAGAGCACAATGTCCCTTTTGGGTAAATGTTGCCTGGGTCGCCTCCCGAGAATTTTTACAGCTGCGCCCATATAAGGTTCCCCTCAACTACAAGCA